GCTGCCGAATTTCAGAAAAGTGGCAAATCCCTTATGTTTTTGGACCCTGACCCATCTGCGTGAGGGGTGCCGCCGAATTTCAGAAATGTGGCAAATCCGTTGTCTTTTTGGACCCTGACCCTGCCGATCTGCTTGAGGGGCGACACGGAATTTCAGAAATGTGGCCAATCCTTTTTGTTTTTGGACCCTGACCCCGCCGATCTGCGTGAGGGGTGCCACCGGATTTCAGAAATGTGGCAACTCCCTTGTGTTTTTGGACCCTGACATCGCCGATCTGCGTGAGGGGTGCCGCCGAATTTTAGAAGTGTGGCAACTCCCTTTTGTTTTTGGACCCTGACCCTGCCGATCTATGTGAGGGATGTGCGAATTATGAAAATGTGGCAAATCCCCAGTGTTTTTTGACCCTGACCCCGCCGATCTGCGTGAGGGGTGCCGCCGAATTTCAGAAATGTGGCAAATCGCCTGTGTTTTTGGACCCTGACCCCGCCGATCTGCGCGAGGGGTGTCAATTTCTACCCACCCCAGCGATTCAGACAATACGATTTGGGCGTGGTAGAAATGCCCGTTTTGGGCCTCCCCCCTCTCGCGCGGTCCATCAACAAAGCACAGTAAGCAGCAAGAAGTCAACACGGAACAGTAAGCAGCAAGAAGCAGAACTGTAACAGTGGAAACTGGAAGCTGCAACTGGTACAGGAAACTGCGAACCTTAGGCCTATAGCCTGGTGTCCCCACAGGGGGGCCGGCGGATAATGGTGCTGATGACGATGGTACTGATGCTGATGATGCTGATGCTGGTGATGCTGCTGCTGCTGATGATGATGGTGATGCTGATGATGCTGATGATGACGTATGATGGCGTGTGATGATGATGCTGGTGATGATGATGCCGATAACGATGATGCTGCTGCTGGTGCTGCTGATGATGGTGCTGCTGATGAAATTGATGATGCCATTGTTTATGATGCTGCTGCTGATGCTGCTGATGTTGATGATGATGATGATGAGGAGGAGGAGGGGGAGGAGGATGGGGAGGGGGATGCTGATGATGATGATGATGATGCTGACACTGCTGATGATGATGGTGATGATGATGATGGTGATGCTGCTGCTGATGATGATGATCGTGATGATCGTGATGATGATTGTGATGATGCTGATGATGATGGTGATGATGATGGTGGGGATGATGACGGTGATGGTGCTGCTGGTGCTAATGATGCTGATGCTGCTGATGCTGCTGCTGCTGCTGATAACGATGATGCTGATGGCGATGATGCTGACGATGATGATGATGATGCTGATGATGATGCTGACGATGATGATAATGCTACTTATGCTTTTGCTGATTATGATGAACATGATGATGCTGATGTGGCTGATTCTGATGATGCTGCTGATGATGCTGCTGCTGATGATGATGATGTGAGGATGAGGATGAGGAGGATGAGGAGGAGAAAGATGAGGAGGAGAAAGATGCTGAGGAGGAGGAGGAGGAGGGAGAAGAGGACGAGGAGGAGGAGGACGAGGAGGCTGATGATGCTGATTATGATGATGATGGTGGTGGTGGTGATGATGCCAATGCTGCTGATGATGATGATGCTGATGCTGCTCATGATGATGATGATGATGATGATGATGATGATGATGATGATGATGATGATGATGATGATGATAGTGGTCATGATACTGATGACAATGATGAGTCGGATCATGATGATGATGTTGCTGCTGACGATGATGATGACGTTGATGATGATGATGATGCTGATGATGATGATGATGATGATGATGATGGTGATGATGATATTGGAAATCATGATGCTTAAGATGATGATGCTGATGATGTTGATGTTGATGTTGTTGATGATGCTGATGATGATGATGATGATGATGATGATGATGATGATGATGATGATGATGATGATGATGATGATGATGATGATGATGATGATGATGAGGAGGAGGAGGAGAGGAGGAGGAGGAGGAGGAGGATGATGATGATGATGATGATGATGAGAGGAGGAGGAGGAGGAGGAGGAGCAGAGGAGGTTGAGGAGGAGGCGGAGGAGGAGGAGGAGGAGGAGGAGGAAGGAGGGGTATAATGAGGCGGCGGTGGAGGAGGAGGAGGAGGAAGAGGAGGAGGAGGAGGAGGAGGAGGAGGAGGAGGAGGCGGGGGAGGAGGAGGAGGAGGAGGAGGAGGAGGAGGAGGAGGAGGAGGAGGAGGAGGAGGAGGAGGAGGTGAGGAGGAGGAGGAGGAGGAGGAGGAGGAGGAGGAGGAGGAGGAGGAGGAGGAAGAGCAGGCAGCCCACAAACCCTGTGGAACGTTGGACGGCCCTGGGGCGTCTCAAGGTTTCGAGGTTTCTAAGGGCATTCTTCACGATCCGCATCTTCCTGATCCTCCTGATCCTTATCCTTGTCCCCCTCCTGCCCCTAATCCCCCTCTTCCTCTCCATTTTCCCCTGCTTGTGTCCCTCGTCTACCTTTCCCCTTCTTGGCCTCCCCATTCCTTCTTCGCCCACATCTCGCTCCTCCCCCCCTCCGTCTCCGACCTCCGACCTGCTCTTCCTGAAGGAGGGGGTGGAGCGGGAGAATGGGGAGGAGGAGGAGGAGGAGGAGGAGGAGGAGGAGGAGGAGGAGGAGGAGGAGGCGGAGGAGGAGGAGGAGGAGGAGGAGGAGGAGAAGGAGGAGGAGGAGGAGAAGAAGGAGAGGAAGGATGAGAAGGAGAAGGAGGAGGAGGTGGAGGAGGAGAAGGAGGAGGAGGGAGGAGGAGGAGGAGGCGGAAGACGACGATGACGTTGGCGTCGGCGACGGCGCCGCGGGCCGGCTCGTCGGTCGAGTGGCCGATCGGGAGGAGGATCGGGGGCCCGATCTTGTTGGGGCTGGTGGGGGATTCTCAGAGTAGACAAGCCCTATCCTTCTCCTCCTCCTCCTCCCTCCTCCTCTTTCTCCTCCTCCTCCTCCTCCTCCTCCTCTCCTCCTCCTCCTCCTCCTCCTCCTCCTCGGGTCGCCTACGGCCCCCGGGGGAAGCCGTGCACGCTGGGCCCCGCCGCCACGGCGGGCCCCCCTCACCCCGGTGCGCCCCCCGCTCGCGATCATGATGGTCCCGTCTCTTTAGAGGGCACACCCACCAGGTATCTTAAGAACCTGAAGAATCTGGACGGGGCACTGGGCGTTCTCGGTTCTCTTGGGCCTCTTTGAGCTCGTAGGGTTGTCGTGTCCTTGGGCCTGGGTTGCTGTTTCAGACAGCGCTTCGAGTGGAGCCCATCTCCTTAGCCAAGCGTTTTCTTAGCCCTGAGAAGGGGCGTAGAACGGCCAGAAGGAAGACCCACACGGACCTCGGAGGGCTACACAGATCGGCCACTGCGCCACAGCACTCGTGCAGCTCTGCTGCCCTCTGGCCTGGCCGGGGGATGTCTTTGTGTCCCGACCCTCCTGTGTTGGGTTCTCGTTTTGAGTAGAGCGCTGCGGTCGCACACCCGCCTCCTCCTTCACCCCCTCCTCTCCTCCCCCCCCCCTCGCCCTGCCTCCTCCTGCGCTGCTCCCTGGCTGGGTGGGTGGCTGCGATCTGCGCAACCGTCGCCACTCTCGTCTGGGCGACTGCGAGCTGTGCAACTGTCGCTACGTTCGGGGGCTCCTGGGAGGCACGGCGGAGTCGGGGGGTACGCGGACCCAGCCGGGACCTCGCAACTCCTGGGTGGTTGCGAACGGCGCAGCTGTCGGCAGGGTAGGGGAGCACGCGCAGCAGGCCGAGGCCTCGCGGCTCCCTGGGGCACTGCGAGCTGCGCGACGGTCGCCGTGCTCCTGGGCTCCGCGGAGCGTGGGAGCACGCGCCAGGAGGAGGAGGAGGAGGAGGAGGAGGAGGAGGAGGAGGAGGAGGAGGAGGAGGAGGAGGAGGAGGAGGAGGAGGAGGAGGAGGAGGGGGAGGAGGAGGAGGAGGAGCACCCGGCCGAGGCCTCGCAGCTCCCCGGGGAGGCTGCGGACTGCGCAGCCGTCGCCGCTCTCGTGGCCCTCCCGGGAGGCCCAGCGCGGAGCAAAGGGGGGCCGCGCGCGCCCTGGCCGAGACCTCGCCGGCTCTCTGGGCGACTGCCGTGTGCACCACGGGGGCCACTCCTGCGGGCTCCCGGGGGGTCCAGCGGAGCTGGGTCCGCGCGCGGCCCGCCGAGGCTCCCGCGGGCTGCGGGGAGGTCTCGCGGGTCGGGGGCCGCGCGCACCCACTGGAGATCTCCCTTCTCTTTTTAGCATGCTGGGGGCCATGCAGCTCTCGCCACTTTCGTGGGCTCCTGCGAGGTCCAGTAGCGTCGGGGGCCACGCGGATCCAGCCGAGGCCTCGCGGCTCCCTGGTCGGTTGCGAGCTGCGCAATTGTCCCCGCTTTCGTGGGCTCTTGGGAGGCACGGCGGAGATGAGGGCAGCGCTCATCGTTCACACGTGGCGATGTGTTCTCTTGTGTGGGGCGTTCACACAAATCTTCGCCTTGCACGGAGAAGGGGTGGGGTACGTCTCGGGTAGTCTTGCTGCTGTCAGGGACTCGAGCTGAGCGGGAGGCGCCGCCAGTTCTGACCCACCACCACGCTTCGGCGCGACATGCTAATCTTCAGTCGGCAATGCCCCTCTACAGGAGCAATCTTATAAATAGAGTCCAAAGACAGTCTGGGGACGATTTTTCGATTATGCTTTGACGATTTTAGATGGTTTTTGTTTGACTCTTTTAATTCTTCCTCCAACATCCGCCTGTAGGAGCACATGCCCGACCTAACGCAAGTCACATCCCAGTTCCAGGCATCAGCGTCTTGAGTGTTTCCAAGCGTCCTGCCCTCCGTAGCCGAGCGACACGCCATCCGCTTGCACGGCGCAGCGTGTCGCCGGGGCCGTCGCCGCGAGACCCCGAGCAAAAGTTCCTGACCGTAGGGGAGGGCCTCCTCCTCCTCATCCTGGGGGTGCACCTGGTCCTTGGAGGGGCGGGACCATGCTTCCCAGCTGAGGCCACGCCCGCGCAGCCGGCATGTACGACAGCGACTTTGTCGCCTCAGACCTGACGCAGGCGATCGTCCTAGCAGGAGTGCGTCATGATGAGACCCTGCAGACTTTCGAGGAAGGCCCCAAGAGACGCTCACGTTGGTCGGAGTGCAAAGTAGCCAAGCGCGGCAAGCGATGGGGCCTCCCGGACGATAAGCCATACAAGCCGCTGTGCTACGTGGATTTGCCCATGGGTCTCACGGAGAAGGAGATCGACCAGTTTTTGCGCGAGCAGCGGCTCGAGGACCTCCACCGCAAGATCCAGGCCCACGAGCTCGAGGACATGGACCCCGACATTCGCGCTCCCTCACCACCTCCAGTCTACGATAAGGCAGGGAATCGTTTGAATACCAGGGACATGCGCATCAGGAAGGCCATGACAGCCGAGTACAATCGTCTCATTAGGTACATGATCAAGCACGTCGACGGCTACCTGCCACCCGTGGATTGGAAGCCGGCCAAGCTGCTGAAGAAGATCATCATCCCCATCGAGAAGTTCCCTCAGGCACCGTTCATGGGAGTCATCATCGGGCCACGCGGCGTCAACCACAAGCGGCTCCAGGAGACTACGGGGTGCAAGATCTTCATCCGCGGCCGAGACATCGGCGACAAGTGGCAGAGTGACGAGGAGGCAGCCATGCCCCAGCACGTGCACATCGAGGGGGACACCGAGGAGCAGATCCTGTCCGCGGAGCGGCTCATCGAGCCCCTGCTGAACCCGGAGAGCCCGGAGTTCGAGTACGCCAGGACTCAGGGGGGAAAGATCTGGTGCACTCGCTCCGTGCCTGTGCACTCTCTGTACTCGCTCATTTCGTCCTGTCTCCTCGCTTCTCTTCTCTCGGTCTCTCCCATGCGCACACAGCACACGCAGCACGTGCATGCGTATACATATGTACCCACACCTGCGCGCCTATGAACACATTCATGCATATTTGCGTTCGCATGCCCACCAACGTTTACACACGACGGACGTGGGCACCTTCTTTTACACACATATGCGTGCCCTTCTATTGGAGTGCATACATCCAGCTCGCGTGTAGGCCCACGCACGCACATTCATGCACACGCACGTGCTATGTGCATGCGCATCTATGCAATCATGAGCGTGTACACCCACACTCGGACACGCGAAACTGTTCACAGCCACTTGCCAGTATATACGCACACACATATACACATACAAGTGTACTCTTGCACATGCATCTACACACATTCTTAACGATTCGCGTATACCCATCAGCCCATCCAGGAACGATCTCAAGGGGATCTGCCCTTATCGGGGGAGCGGGGCATACTTTGGAGAGCTCTGGGAGCCTCTGTTGGCCAGAGGCCTCTTGTGTGCTTCTCGGAGTCTTTTGTCATGTCTCCCGTAGCTTTTTTTCGGGCCTCTCGGGCGCCTCTTGGGGCCCTCTTGGAAGCTCTCCTAGGAGCGCTTCGGGCCGTCTCGGAACCGTCTTGGAGGCCGTCGATCATAGAGGGGGGGGGGTACGCCGCTGGTCAGCCCCGCCCCCCCCAGCAGACCAACATTGGCCCACAACCTAAGGCCCATCAATGACGTTGGTTCTGTCGCTCAGGCCGTCTTGGACGCTCTCACTACCTGCACATCCCCCCCGTCCAGACCCACTTTTTGCGTCGGCGGCTAGGCGGAGTGACTGCGCTCGCGAAGTCGTCCAGGCCCACACGAAGCCAAGTTCCCAGCAGGAGTCCCGCAGGCTGTCTCGCTCACTCCCACCCGCCCTCCCACTTCACAAGCAGCACCCGCTTCTTATTCTAGGCAGGGGCCGCCATCGACAACCATCGGAAACCATTGCGTGGCTCACCAGGTGCGCCACATTGGTCAATCTGCCGACCCCCCCGCCATCCGTGTCCAAGCAGTGCGAAGTGATGGCGGGTTTGCTTGTTTCGATCTGCCGCGCCCCCACCGTCCCTGGCAGAGTGCACTTTGCATTTTTTCCCAAACCTCCTGTGTGTTCGGGTCCTCGTTTTGAATTTCTCACCTCGCCTCCTCCCCCGCCTCCCTCCGTTTCCTCTTCATCAGTAGTATCACGTATCACCATCATCACCACCATCATCAGTATTATTTTTATTATTATTATTATTATTATCATCATCATCATCATCATCATCATCATTCTTGGCATCATCATCATCGTTATCGGCATCCACATCAGCATCACAATGATTATCGGCGTCATCATCAGAATCCTCATCATCAGCAGTATCATCATCAGCATCGTCGTCGTCGTAGTCATCGTCACCACCACAGGTATCGTCATAATCATCGTCATCACCATAATCATCATTCGCATCATCATCCTCATCATCATCATCATCATCATCAGCATCATCATCATCATCATCATCATTATCACCAGCATCATTATCATCACCATCATCAACAACACCCCATCATCACCCTCGTCATCATCAGCATAACCATCGTCCTCATCACCATCATCACCCGCATCATCCTTACCATCATCATCACCACCATGATGATGATGATGGTGATGATCATCATCAGCATCATTATCAGCATTCTCGTTATCATCATTGTCATCGTCATCATGTTTTGATATCTTTCTTACTATTGTAACTCTTATTGCGATTATTATGGCGGTTCCTCGTGTTACTATCATTCTCATTCTCATTATCCGTGAGGGCTTCACGCCCTGCCGCCGGCCCCCTTTCTCGGAGAATGGGCAATGCAAGAGAGAAATCATGAGGCCTTGGCGCCGCCGTGAAGCAGCGTCGGGACTTCACGCGAAGACGATGGGTAATCGGGAAGACACATTGAGATTCTGATGATGTTGTTGAATTTGGTATTGTATTTCGAGGGTTTATGGCTTCGGATTCGCGAGTAGCGCGTAATTTGCGAGGGTTTATGGCTTCGAAGTCGCAAATTCTAGACGCTTCGCGTATCCCCACCAGCCCGTCCAGAAACGACGCCCAGGCGAGTAGAGGGTCGTCCTGAGGGGCTTTTCGGCGTCTTGGGTGCCTCGGGGGGGCCTCTGTGGGCCGTTCGGGATCCTTTGGGGCCTCCTGGGGGCCTCTTGGGGCCTCTTGGGGCCATCTTGGGGCCTTTGGGGGCCTCCTGGGCGCTTCTTGGGGCCATCTTTGCCCCCTCAGGAGGCCACCGAGGCCTCTGGGAGCACCTTGGGCGCCTCTGGGGGGTCTCTTGGGGCCTCTTGGGGGTCTCTTGGGGGCCTCCTGGGGGCCTCTTGAAGGCCCTGCTGGGGCGCTCTTGGGGCAATGTTGGAGGACATCGGCCAACGAAGTGGGGTTCCCTAATTACAGCCCCCCCCCCAGGAGCTCCAGAAATCGCTTCCTGGACCTCTCTTGGATCGCTCTCGGAGCGCTCGTGGCCGCTCTTGGAGCCATCCTGAGGCTCTCTTGGGCCCCTCTTGGAGCTATCTTGAGCCATCTTGGAGCCATCTTGACGCGTCGGATGTGCATCGCAAGCGAAACAGTGAGAACACCAAAAACATTGATTTTCCCTAGGGTTTTGAAGCATTTTGGCTTCTTGGATGCATCCTAATGATGCTCTTGTGGGCACTTGGAACCGTATTGGGGACTTCTTGGAGCGTCTTGGAACATCATGGGGACCATCTTGAGGCATCTTGCGCTATCTTGAGCCATCTTGGAGGTCATCTTGAGCTCCCTGAGGCCCTCTTGGAGCCGTGTTGGGCCGTCTTGGACGCTCTAACTACCCGCGGTCCCCCCTGTCCAGGTCAGTGGGGAGGGGGTAGGGGGAGGGGTAAACCCCTCCCCGAAGGGGAAGAAGGAGGGGTGGAAGAGGAAACGCTCTAAACCACCGACGCCCAGAGGGCTGGTGGGATATAGTGTAATTTAGGAAGGTCTATGGCTTCGGAGACGCGAGTATTGTGTAAGCTACAAGGGTTTATGGCCTCGGACACGCGATTATTGCGTAACTTGGAAGGTTTATGGTTTCGGGGTCGCACATGTTGCATCATTTATGCAGGTTCATGGCTTCGGAGACGCGAATCTTGTTTAATTTGCAAGGGTTTATGGCTTGGGGGGCGCGACTATCAGGTGATTTACGAGCGTTCGGGGACGCAAGTATTCTATATTTTGCGAGTGTTTATGGTTTCGGGGTCACGAAAGTGGCGTATTTTGCAAGGCTTTATGGCTTCGGGGATTCGAGTATTGCGTAATTCGCAAGGGGGTATTACCTCGGGGACGCGACTATCGCGTAATTTATGAGGGTTTATGGCCTCGGGGGCGCGAATTTAATGTATTTTTACGTGTCCCACGCACCCCAGGAATTAAGAGCACCCGATTCGGGCGTGGTAACTTGGTTCCTTCTCGGCTCCCCTCCCCTCGCGCGGTCCGTCAACACGGAACAGTTAGCAGCCAGAAGCAGAATTGTAGCAGTGGAAACTGGAAATTGGAACTGGCACAGGGAACAGCAAACCTTCGTCCTACAGCCTGGTGGTTTCACAAGGGGGCCGGCGGATTATCATTATAAACATTACTCGTATAATTCTTCTTATGCTTTTAGTAGTGTCAATCTTGTATTCGTTGTTGTTATGATTACCAGCATCGCCACCATCAGCATCACCATCATCAGCATCATCATCATCGTCATCATCGTCATCACCATCATCAACGCCGTCATTAACATAATCACCATCATCTTCACCATCATCATCGTCACCATCACCATCACCATCACTACCACCACCATAATCATAATCATCATCAGCATCGTCATCATTATCACCACCATCGTCCTCATCACCATCATCACCAGTACCACTACCACCGTCATCATCATCATCATCATCATCATCATCATCATCATTATCATTATCATCACCATCATCATCATCATCACCATCATTATCAATGGCATGATCATCATTATCCTTGCCACCAACTCCATCGTTGTCATTCTCACCATCATTATCATCATCATCATCATCATCATCATCATCATCATCATCATCATCATCATCATCATCATCATCATCATCAGCATCATCATCATCATCCCCTTTGCCGTTACTACCATCGTTACCATCATCTATTCGGTCGCTACCACCATCATCATCATCATCATGATCATCGTTTCGGCACACTTCTCACACGTTTCGTGGGCCCATAGAGGACTCAACCGAAGGTCCGAGTGGTTGCGCCCCCGCGGCGACCGGGCCCCTATGTCGGCACACCCCTCGCACACGCCCCGTGGCCCCATAGGGAGCTCGACCAAAGGCTCCTGTGGTTGCGGCCGCATGGTGCCCCGCTCCACCTCAGCACACCCCTCACACGTCTGCCCGGTGGCTTCGGCCGCGTGGTGGCCCACCCCATCCCGGCACACCCCTCGCACGCTCCGTGGCCCCATGGGGAGCTCCACCAAAGGCCCCGGTGGCGGCGGCCGCATGGTGCGCCGCCCCATTTTTGGCACACTCCTCACGGTTCGTGGCCCCATTTGGAGCTCCACCGAAGGCCCCAGTGGCTGCGTCCGCAAAGTTCCCCGCCCCATTTCGGCACCCCTCGCGCGTTTCGCGGCCCCATAGGGAGCTCCACCGAAGGGTTATTCTAGTGCATTGAGCAGTCCTGCTCATACTTCCTTCGTTTGAGAAAGGGTTGGGTTCTTCGCCGGGCTAATCTAGAACGGGATGGTTGGCCTGCGCGCAGCAGGCAGCATGCCCGCCCACACCCGCCGCCGTTCCTTCCACGCACGATCCAGATTTTGGTGCAGTGTGCACATTTGTGCAGTCTTTTTTTTTGCTCGCAAGGGGTGGTGGGAAGAGGGCGTTGGCACTGCACACGGCAGGCAACCTGCCGCCCCCCCACCGTCCCCGTCAAAAACCAGTGCCAAGTGATCGCGGGATGCCCGCGCATGATCCAGATGTGGGTGCCAGGTGCATTCGGTATTGGTTTTGCATGAGATGGTGGGGCCACCTGTTAACAGCCAGTGCAAAGTGATTGCGGGGCTCCCGCGCATGATGCGTATTTTCTTGCAAGAGGTGATTTGTACGAGCTTGTCCCGACCATCCGGTGGTGTTGGGTCTTCGTTGTTGAAGCGACAGCTCCCCGCGTCTTCCTCCTCTCCTCCTGCCCCTCCACCCCGTCTTCCAGCCGCTGCTCTCCGCATGCGTATTTTGGCACACCCCTCCCCCCAGAGGCCTCCAACACACCCCAGACCCCTGAGATGCCCCCCCCAAAGCCCCGACGAGGCCCCCAAAATAGCCCAAGAGAGCTTCGAGAGCCGTCCCGAGAGAGCCCGAAGAGGGTACAATCGTTGCTTTCCAGTGGTTTTTGTAAACGTTTTTCGCCTTCTCACGTTTTCCGGCTTCTAACGCTGCAAGTCAGAGGAATTTGAAAAAAGGAACTTCAGAGATTCCTTTTCTTTTCAAGTTCAACAAGTGCGCGCCCCCTTCTCCCAGGGGTCCCACACCTCCCGGTATCGCGCTTCCCGACCTCCCGGGGGGCCCCAAAACGCCCAAGGACAGCCGAAGACGACCCCAAGAAGCCCCCAGAACGTCAAAAAAAGGCCAAGACGCTCCCAAGCAACCCGGGATAGCTTTCGGGCGGCTCTCCAGGCTCCCAGGAGGACTCCTGAAGACCCAAGAAAGCTCCGAGAGGCCTCCAGGGAGCGCCTGGAGAACCTAAAATCGTGAATTTCTATTTTTTTCAGGGTATTTGGCCTTCTCACCATTTCATGTTTCCAACGCTCCAAGACGGCCGAAGAGGCCCCCAAGACCGCTCCGAGACTGCGTGGTGATGGAGCGCCTGTTGTTGCTTGACCTTTTGCAGCGCAGAGCCTGCGGCGTGGGCTGGCAGAGCAGTTGTGGCTGTTCTGCTTCGGAGTCATGGGTGCACGAATTGTTCGCTCGGTGATCTCCTGGTCATCAAGCCGGCTGCCTCGTCTCCGTATGCCGAGTCCATGTGGCCAGCACAGGTTTCACTCGCGCTTTGAATACATACAGCACGGGTGCAGCCTGTTGGCGAGCTTTGTAATTCAATTGCTGCACTTGGGACCGATCACCTGTCATCCAGCCTTGACGAGTGGACATATCTAGCCCCCGCAGAGCCCCAGCGGCGTTAGGTACGCATGCCGATGCTCAGGCCAGTTCGCGTGGCACGGCCCTCGCAGTCGGAAACACCGCTCACAGGACATACGGTCTTGTTGGAGTCACGGGTCAGTCGTGCACGCCCTTTTCACGTTGGCAATTGGACGGGAGGCATGTCTGTGCCTGAGTTTCTCGATCTTGTGGCCAGCGCAGGCTTCGCCTGCGATGCAGCTCGGTGTTGTTGCAGCCAGGTTTAGCACATGCTGTGCGGTCACAGCCTTCCGGCGCGCTTTGTAATTACACATGGTTGCGCTTGGGATAATCAATTTGTTGCACTTGGGACCGATCACCTGCCATCTGGCCTTAGCGAGTGGAAATATTCAGCCACCGCAATGCCTCAGTGGCGTTAGGTACGCATGGCGGTGCTCAGGGCTGTCTGTGCGGCACGGCCCTGACTGTGAGGCGAGTCTTCGCCACTGGCATGCTTCCGCGGCGCGACGCGACCAGGTATTTCAAAACGTTCGCCTGCAGACGGGCGAGCGGTGCCGAGCCTCTTCGGGGCCTTTACCCCTGGGTGGTTTGATCAGGGGGGCAGTGGGGAACGATCACTTAGCATCGCGCGCATGCCGTTCAGTGTGCCAGCAAAGTTGCAGACGGCAGCGGACGATGCTGTTTCAACCTTCTGGTTCTGCTCCTATCACGCGCGCGCTCTTGCTGGAATCTGATGTGATAGTCTTTACTTACTGGTGTGAAAAAAAAAAAACACGCCCCGAGACCGCTTAAGAGGCCCCCAAGACGGCCCCAAGACGGGCCAAGACGGCCCCAAGATTGCCGAAGAGGCGCCCAGGACAGCTCCAGACCACCCCAGAACAGGCCCAAGATGAGCCGAAGAGCGGGAGCAGGAGGCCTCCAGAGACCTCTGAGAGGACTCCGGGACCCCCCGGAGGCCTCCAACACACCAGACCCCTGATGCTCCCAAAACAGCCCCGACGAGGCTCCCAAAACAGCCCAAGAGAGCTTCGAGAGCCGTCCCGAGAGAGCCCGAAGAGGGTAAGATCGTTGCTTTCCAGTGGTTTTAGTCGACGTTTTTCGCCTTCTCACGTTTCCCCGCTTCCAACGCTCCAAGACCGAGGAATTTGAAAAAAAGGGAATTCCAGAGATTCCTTTTCTTTTATCAAGTTGGGACTCCTACTCCCTATCCTCTTCCTCGAGCCCCATCCCCATCAAGACTTCGGGGCCACACGCAAAAATGTTTCGGGAATGCTGTTGAACTCTCTGACGCTGTCTTGGCACTCTCTTGGATCGTGTTCGTGTCCTCTTGGCTGCCCCTGAAACCATGGTAGAGATCGAGATCCCATGATCCCATGAGTTGAAGCAGTGGAATTTTAGAATTCCTTTTTTAAGAACTCACCCCCTGCTTATTCGTGTACGAAGACCCCGAGAGGCATCCCAAGAGACTGTGGCCTGCATGCAGAAAACGTCTAACCCACAGCCCAGGCACTACAACTTGAAAGGAGGGAAATTCCACCATTCCGTTTTTTCCCAAGCTCGCCCCCCTTGTCTATTCTTGCACAACAGACCATAATTAAAGCCCCAGAGAAGAACCCAGGAAGCCTTCGAGGGCCCCAAATCGTTGAATACCTAACGGCAGTTAATGACTTTTGCGTTTCCGCAGTTCCCCTTCCATGCGATTCCGAGGCTTGCGCAGGGCCTCCAAGAGAGTCCCTGGATACAAGAAGCGACAAGGATGATATTCCATGTGCTCGCCCATCGAGCCTAGCTAGAACTTGAGCGCGCGCGCGATGGTTCTAGTGTGTATATATATATATATGTACATATACAGATATACGGGTACGTTATATATGATATACAGATTTATGTAGACATGCATCTATATACATACACGCCATGTATATATATACATATTTACGGAGTCACAGACGGTGACAGTGGGCTTTGGTAATAGCTGTTCTACAGTCGCGTCGAACTCAATATTGACTACATTCAGTTTTGGCGCAGTTACCTTGCACTCATGAGAGCCAAGTTTCAGGCACTCACTTTTCGAACAACTCGTTTGATCCAATCACCTCTGATACGTATACGTGCAGGCGCGTTCATCCCTCAGTTTCGAAGGCCATGTACGTGCGCACTCAAGCAGCGCATATGCGTCTTCGTTCCTGCCTGGCAGGTAATCGGCCCCCGCTTTGGGGGACTTCTGCTGCCAATCCACCGCAAGCTGCTTGACGCAAGACGGTCATCGAAAGGGAAGCGAACTTTTAGTATGAGCGTGTGTGGCTTAGCATCGACATCTCCCACACATGCTTATACTATGTGTGCGGCGCCCCCCCAAGGGCGATGCGCGCGCTCGGGTATGTTACAGTGTGTGCTCGTGGGCGGGCGCTGTCTGGCCATACCGCGTGGGTAACGATATGTTGAAATCTGTTTGTACTCCATGTTCGATTCGGACGTTCGCCTCCAGAGGGGGTGCCTGGTACTGGTATGTCCCTCTGCATCAAGTAGTCGCGAGGGCGAACGTCAAACCTTATTCTCTGAAGGACACACGGCATGCAGCAGCTCGCGATGGTGAACGGGTTCACCCTCAACAAGGCAGAGCAGAGATGCGGCATTTGCGGCGCCCTCGGTCACTTGGGCTTCGAGTGCCCAGAGACCAACAATCAGAACTACAAGATGGCGAACGTGGTCTGCACTATCTGTGGCGACAAGGGTCACGTGGCATCTGACTGTAAGAAGACAGCGGAGGCAAACAAGGCACAGAACGTAGATTGGAAGGCCATGGCCGAGAAGAAGGCGCAGATGGACAAGGACTACGGCGACATGATGAGCGATCTTAGTGGAGGACAGCCGTCTGGAGCGGCACCTGGAGCTGGTGCGAGTGCCATGGTGCCCACATCCATGCCCGGCGCAGTTGCTGCTGGCGGCGGTGCAGTGGATAAGAGCATCTTGTGTCCTGGTAGCTTGATCGGAAAGTTGATAGGACCTGGCGGAGCGACGATCAAGAAGCTCGCGACGGACAGCGGCGCGCAGATCAATCTGGACACTGTGGCGCAGCCTGGGGGGGCCAAGACCATCATCATCACGGCCGCCGATCCAGTGGCGAGGGAGAGGGCCAAGATGCACGTGCAGATGTGGATCAAGGAGAACCAGGGCGGCGCCCCCCCGTCTTTCGCGCCGCAGGGCAACCCAGGGGCGCAGATGCAGCCCCCTGGCCTGCGGCCTGTTGGGCCCCTCGGCGCCGGAGGCCTGGCGGGCAACCCGGGCATGGGCATGGCGGCCGGCGCCATGCCGAAGCCAGGAGGCATGCCGAACATGCCCGCGGGCATGCGGCCACCCATGGGCCCGGGCGGCCAGTTTGGGAACATCAGGCCAGGGGGCATGCCCAACATGGGCTCCATGGGGCCCCCGGGCGGCGTCCCGAACATGATGAACCAGCCCGGGGGCCAGGCGGCAGGCGGCATGCAGCCGAAGATGGGAATGATGCAGCCAGGCATCCGACCGCCGGGGCAGTACGGCGGCAACCAGGGGCAGTACGGCGGCAACCAGGGATACTAGCGCGGCGGCAGCGGGGTCAGGCCTGGGGCGTGTGGTGCAAAAGTAGAGCGACGACGATGCGTTTGCGAATGGAGGACAAAGCGCAGCCTCCTTCACTCCAGCTCCTCCGCTCTTTCTCTCTCTCTCTCTCTCTCTTCCCCTCTCGCGCTCTCGCTCCTGCTCCTGCTCAACGCTTGCTCATCCCCCCTTGCTCCGCATAGCTGAGCTGCGCCACCTCAGGGCGTCGCCGTCATCCGAGAGGCACGGGGCGAGCCTGACAGACCTCCCCCGAGCCCAAGAGCAACAGCCGGCAGGAACGAGCCGAGCCTGATCGTTTCTGGGCCTCTGGAGGGCCTGTCCGATCGCTCCTGGGGCCTGGGACCTCTGGCCCTTCGTGGACGGCGCGCGCAAGGGGTTGCGCGAGAGGGGGGGGGGGGGAGGGGCGGGCTTCAAAGCAGGCTACGGGGCCTCCACGGCGAGGTCGGAGGTTTCGGAGAAGGCCTCGAGGAGGGCAGGAGGGGACCCCTGCCTTCTTCGGAGCCCCCCTCCCGCCCCACCGCCGTGCGTGCGGTGGCAGGGTCTACCGCGACCCCTCCATGGTACTTGCGCTGCGATTGTTTGCGGTCGCTCGCGTGGGGAAGAGGACGACGCAGAGGCATTGACCCGTTTGCTCGGACGAGCCTAGAAGTACAAGGTGAAGATGGTGACGATGAGGAGCACCAGGATGAAGATGAGAACGAGGATGAGGATGAGCTTGAGGAGGAGAAGGACGAGGAGGAGGACGAGGACGACGAGGAGGAGGATGATGAGGAGGAGGAGGAGGAAGCGACGAATTACGGGCAGGAGGAGGAGGAGGAACATTGCGCACAGGACGAGGATAATGATTAGGAAGAGAAGGAGGAGGAGACGCAGGAGGATGAGGAATAACATTGCGGGCATGACGATGATGCTGATGATGATGATGAGGTTGATGATGCTTACGATGATGCTGATGATGATGATGCTGCTGATGTTTATGATGGTGATAAGGATGATGAGGATTATGATGATGATGGTACTGATGATGATAATGCTGATGCTGTTGCTGATGCTGCTGCTGATGCTGATGCTGCTGATGATGCTGATGATACTGATGCTGATGCTGATGATGTTGATCATGATGCTGATGCTGATAATGATGCTGCTGCTGATACTGATGGTGATGATGATGATGATGATGATGATGATGATGATGATGATGATGATGATGATAGAGATGATGCTGCTGCTGATGATGATGCTGATGCTGGTGGTTGTGGTGAGGATGATGCTGATAATGCTGCTGATGATGCTGATGAGAATGATGCTGCTGCTGCTGATGATGATGACGATGCTGATGCTGGTGCTGATGATGCTGCTGATGATGCTGATGATGTTGTTGGTGGTGGTGATGATGCTTATGCTTATGCTTATGATGATGCTGATGCTGATGATGATGATGATGATGCTGATGACGATGATGATGATGATGCTGATGATGATGATAATGATGATGATGATGCGGATGATTGTGTGGATGCTGTTGCTGATGATAATGCTGATGATGCTGGTGATGGTGATGATGATGATGGTGATGGTGATGATGATGCTGCTGATGATGATGCTGCTGCTGATGATGAGGCTGTTGATGATGATGATGCTGATGATGATGATACTGCTGCTGATGTGTATGATGATGCTGATGATGAGTAGTATGATGCTGATGCTGATGATACTGATGATGCTGATGATCATGCAGATGAATGTGATGATGCTGCTGCTGATGGTGGTAATGCTGATGGTGATGATGCTGCTGCTGATGATGGTGCTAATGATGCTATGCTGTTGCTGCTTCTGATGATGATTATGGTGATGATGATGATGATGATGATGTTGATGATGATGATACAGATTCTGATGATGCTGATGATGCTGATGGGGCTGACGATGCTGACGATGCTGATGATGATGCTGCTGATGGTGGTGGTGATGCTGATGATGATGCTGCTGCTGATGCTGATGCTGCTGATGATGGTACTACTGATGATGCTGCCGCTGATGATGATGATGCTGATTATGATGATGCTGATGTTGATTATGATGATGCTGATGACGGTGATGATGATGATGATGATGATGGTGATGATGATGATGATGATGATGACGATGATGATGATGATGATGATGATGATGATGATGATGATGGTGATGATGACGATGATGATGATGATGCTGATTATGATGATGATGATGATGATTTTGATACTGCTGCTGATGATGATGTTGACGGCGATGATGATGATGCTGATGATGATGATGATGATGATGACGATGATGATGGTGATGCTGATGATGATGATGATGATGCTGATGATGATGATGATGATGATGATGATGATGATGGTGATGACGACGATGATTATGATGACTATTAGGATGATGGTGACGAATATGATGATTATGAAGCTGATTATGATGACGATGACGATTACGATGACGATGT